AGGAAGGATGCTACATTAGCAGCTTTCCCACTGACTCAGGGTCTGGCTGTTTTCCTTTTGTTACTTCAGGCACCATAGCACAGAGCACAAATTGAACTTCATTTCCCACTTTGACACAGCACAACAAATAGCAATGAGCAACTTTCTTTGCCTGGAGGAGGGGACAGCAGGCTGTCAGTCAGCTTCACAGCACTGAACTCTAGTGTCTGCTGTGTCTGCTGATGTGGAAAGGAAGGAAATGCAAGCCTGTGCCTGGGGCTACTTCTGGGATGATATATTCCAAATTTTTTGGCTTTTATTCAACTCCTATAACATTTTCTTTCTTCTTATTATTATAGATAATAATTAGTTTTGCCACCTTAATGTTTTCTTCTATGGAACTTAAAATGTTTCATAAACACTAAAGACAATGTTTTCTTGATGTAGGGAATAATAACAATCTCCAACTTAAATATGGGAAGACTGAAGTATAGGGATCTAGTCAAAGTCCAAAGAATACAACCCAGAGGACCTACCCCTCCCAGGCCCCATATATTACATCATCTTTCATCTTATTCCCCAGAAGTCATTCTTGGTCTTAGCACTTAGAGAGCTGACAAATGGTAGATGGGGTTTCTGTTTCAGAAATTCTTTTTTAATAGCAGATAAAAAAGTCCTCCCCTCTCTCTTTAGTTAGTTAAGAAGTGGCTTAAGAGTGTCCTGAAACAAAATCACTGAATATTTCCAGATAATTTTGAAAAAAAATCTTTATTTTGTGGGTAGGAAGCCAGTTGTGTAACACTGAGAAACAAAGCTCTGAGAATATGGCTTGAAAGTAAGGCAAATTAAAAGTAAATCTGGCAGAAGTTGTGCCACTCTGAAGTTTTCATAGCCACCAGATTTTAATTTGCCCCATGCCCTTTGCAGTTATTCAGTGGTGTGATATGCATCTCCATGTGTCTGTGGAGCAGGTTGGGGGGACTTGGGAGATGTTCCCACGTTGCAGTAAACAAGTGGGCCTAACGTGATGCAATTGGTGGTGTTTTAAGTGGAGGCTTTCTAAAGGACTCAGAAATGCTGAAGGCAACCTAGGGGTCTACCTCATGAGTACATGACTTCTCACTATTATTGAATGCACAGCCATGCTAACAAAAATGTGCTGAGCTTGACATGCAAGTGTACACTCACCCACGGGCATGCAGATGGACATGCCTGCATACAGTAAACTTTCAGATATAAACACCCACCCATAAGCAGATCAAACTTGCACAGTAAGATAGCCACATTGGCTGAGAAAACACGTTCATAGACTCGGTTACATACACAACCCACATGTCTCCATCAACAGCCATTCACAACACTAATACGTATGAAATAGATATGCTTGCATACACACTCTCTTTCCTCTGCACATGGATTCATGTCTGTACACACTCTCATGGATTTGTAGTCCATACAGAAGTATCCAAACACATTCAAGAACATATACTACAACCAATGGAGTGCACACGCATAGACCTAGCCATGCACACTCACATATAGCTTAATGAAGGTTTTTGGTCTGGGAAACTCCTTTTCAAGAAACAAAAATAATTGTCAAAAGAAAAATATGGGGAAAAGCATGGGGAACTGCACAAATAGATGCAAGCACATCCCTACACACCCACTGTGGAGCCTATCAGTCAGGGTTCCCACCGCAACTACAGCTCAGCACCTGCTGGATATGCTTCCCCTGAGTGCAAATGTCTGGTGACCCTCACAGAGATTTCAGGCTTACATGTCTATGGTCACATGTCAAACTAACCAGTGCCAGGTGTTTCCATCTACCCTAACTGACCACAATGACAACTGTCCCTTAGCTCCAAGAGCAGCACCTTCTGAGACCCTACCACAAACGTCCTTCAGCTTCTAAGGAGTTGAGCAGAAACATCTTACCTGCACCTGAACAGTCTAAACATCTCAAATTACTGGAGTTTATTGGCATTTCAGGGTTTATTTTTTCTTCCTTTTTCAGACCCCAGGTCTCGTGGAACAAGACAAGACAGTGTACAGAAACACAAGGCAGGGTTTGCTCAAACCCACAAACAGCAAGAAAGCAACAAGCTCCTGAGGAGAAGGGGGGACGTGTATCTGATAAACTGCCTTACACTGCTTGGGAAGGTGACAACTGTCTGTCCAACATGGGCTACTACTTCCAAAGCCCATTTACTACAGATGTAACATATCAAGTGCTGCTAGCAGGAAGGGAATCCGACAAGACAAACCAACATACAAAACATTCTCTTATTCAATAAGGGTTGTAAGTGCAAAGGGATTTCAGAACATTTCAGAACAAACTCAATCCATAGCTGCTGCTCATTTACCAGTGCATCAAAATATTGTGCAAGTTTTTAGTAACAAACATTAGAAACTAGTAGCAAAGGACTTGCCTAGATAAAAAGAGAAGATTTAAACATGCCAGGTAACAAAAAGGCGTGTGCAGAAATCTGTAAAAACTGTATAGAAGGAAAGGATTCTTTAGAGGAAACAGAGGGAACATCATGAAATGCTGTCCATACCCCTAACTAAAAGTGTCAGGGCCACTCCTGTTGCCTCCTCAACTAAGACAGGTGATGGCTGTTTGGCAGAGGCATACCCTCATTTTTCATAAACTTCTGCAACCGAAAACTGGATTCTGGGTCTTGGCTGACATGAACTTGAATTTAGACAGGGAATGGAGAAGAGAGGGAGCCTTGTCAGTGGTAATTAAACACATCTGTATGGACAGCCCTGGAGACTGAAGATGAGAACATGGCACAATTAGCAGCAGCGTGACCTTCTCGACAACATGCTGAAGATGAATGCGATTTATCCTGCTTAAATTTAGCATCTGAAAGCTGGGTGTCTAGACAAACCTAACAAACCTAGACACTCTCCAGTCACTGGATAGGCACCTCCAAAGAGCAATCCATTCTCCCTGTCATTTACATGCACAGGGAGGCATCAGTTAGCCTGGGGAGGTGTGCATTTCTTCCCACTAACTCGTAAGAGGAAGCCTGGGTGACTGTCTGTCTTCCTCTCAGATGTCTAAAGGTTAACGAGATGTATATCAAAGTGTCTTAAACCATGACATAAAACATTCTTTAATTCACAGGAAACTACTGTGAATTTCTTCAAGAGGATCAGTTAGACTTTCCCTCCAGTACTGGGTTTCCAACTAAGACAGACCACCATTTATTTATGAAAATACAAGGATATTCCTCCTCTCTGCTTGGAAGACTTTTGTACAGATTCAAATACATCAGTCAGGAAAGTTTTGTTGATATTTAGCATAATTAATCTTTAGCTAACTGTACTTATTTCCTCAGTTGCCATGAGGAAATTGCCTCTGCCTCTATGGATGAGAATTGAGCTTTTCCACAACCTGAAGGCTACTGCCAGCTTCCTCATTTAGTTTTATCACAACAAGTGTAGTATAAAAAAGGCTTTCATTTCAGTCTTTAAAGTTAACAACTTCAGCCTGCTGAAAATTGTAACTTCCCTCTACAAAATCAACCCAATCCTAATACCTCTCTAGTAAAAGGGTAACCAAAATAGTTTACAACATTCTGGGGCAAATGTTGTAAATGATTTTTCATGTCCAGAAAGTAGGACAGTTAAGAGAGGTAAAACTATTTTCCATTCTCTCAAAAAACAAAGAAAATAGACTAGTGTCAAATAAAATTTCATTTATTCTAAATCAAAATATTACAACTTGGATAAATGCCCCTGTTTCAGAATAAAAAAAAATATGAAATTGAACAGAAATTAAACTAGAACCATGATATGCAAACATTTTGTGTGGAAAGTTCAAAATAAGGCATTTTTGTTTTTTTCAAAATGTTGCCTACATTTTTCCCTAAACACGGCAGTGAGTGAAAACTATGCTGTCACTTTTCTGCTTGCAGTGGATTGCTTCTACAGTACAAAACAATTCCAAGCTGGAATGTTTATTCAACAGCCACATCGTTTTGCAAATTCATGATTGATTTGCTCTTTGTTAACATGTTTACATCAAGTTTCTTTCAATCTTTCTATTTTCCTGGCCTCACTAAGCTGAACTTCGTAGTGCAATTTTTGTCCATGCTCATAAACGCAGTGGGTCCCCTGTAGTCTTTCTTTTGGGAATCTGTCTGCTTCCTGCTTGTCCTTTGTCTATCCTATAATTTTACATCCATCCACCCATCCATCTCCAAAAAAAGACAGAGGGAAAAGTTTGCCTGATGTGATTTATTCCTTGAACACCAGCTGCTCATTTCAGTCTCCGTGGCACATTCAGTCTTTTACCTGTCTGCTGAGATACACACCAGTGGGGACCATCAGTATCAATTGTGCTGGTAGAACTTATGAGATGGAGCAAACCTGGTTGCAAGCCCCAAAAACTGGGTTGAAAGTCCGGTGCTTTGGTTTTTTTTGGGGCTTTTTGTTTTATTTTTATTTTATCTATCTTTTTTCAAATTAGCAACAGAACATTAGGAGCAGGTTCCTCTAAAGAGAGATGATTTGGTCTTTATTTCTTTTGGAGGAAACCTGGGTCAGGAGGCACAGGGAGGAATCCTGGTTTGGTTCCCACAGTTCCACCTCGAAAGAACTGACCTTTAGATCTCTGTGGGGTGGAAAGTATCGAACTGCCATGGGAAGCAAAGCATAACACTGGGTAGACCAAAGTGCTGGCCTGGGACTATTCTAGCAGCTTCCCATGGCACAAATAGCTTTTTCACTTACACTCCACATTGCACATCACTTTTCCTGCTATACAGTTTAATTCATGCCAGGTGGATTATGAAGGGAAGAAAATGATGCAACAGTCAAAAAGTCCTTTAAGTCGTTCCAAAAATTAAAACAAAGAGAAAAAAAAAGAGAGAGAGCTTCAAAACTAAATGAAAAGCTCTGAAAACAAACTCAAAAGAAAGGAGAAAAGGGGAGGAAAAAAAAAAAAGATCCCGGGAAAGACAAATGAATGTTAGAGCAGGCACGATCATGGACAGACGCCAGCTACTTACGTTCACCTCGGTGATTGCTATATCAACAATGCTACCCACAACAATCAAGGCGTCAAATGTATTCCATGCATCACAGAAATAGTGCTGCATGTGGCAGAGAAGCCAAGGAAAGAGAGAGAGAGAGAGAGAGAGAGAAAGGAGGAGAAAGAGAGAATGAGAGAGAGGAGGGAGAGAGAGAGGGAAAGGGAGAAAAGAGGGAAAAAAGTAAAAAGTAAAATAAAATAAAATAAAAAACCAAACCAAAACAAAAAAAAGCATGAAAGAGGGAGAGAAGAGGAAAAAAATAAGAAAAGAAAGAGGTTACGTGGGCATATTAAATAGTCTCTTACCACTCTACAGTATTGGTTGTTCAAACCTCTGTAACGTTTCACATGATGGAGGGTATCAACAAAAGCCTGGTTAGTCAGAAAGTTACACTCAAGCATGTCTACCTTTTGGAGGGAAAAAAAGCACACACACCCCAAACTCTGTGCGCTTTCACCAGTCACAGCCTCGGGGCGAGCTATGACAAGTGAAAAAGAAGGAGGCATTTCCCCCCCTCCTTTTTTTTTCCCTGGGAGAAGGAGAAGGACGACGGCAAGTTCAATAAAAGCATGACTAGAGGAAAAAAAAACAGAAAAAAAAAAGAGAGAGAAAGAAAGAAAGAAAGAGAGAAGGAACAGCAGAGGAGGAGGAGGTGGTGGTATCCTGGGGAGGGTAGAGTAATACTCACATTAGTTTCACTGAGAATGACGTCTATAATGCTGCCAATTACGATGAGGAAGTCAAAAACATTCCAAGGATCACTAAAGTAACCCTACATAAGGAAGGGGCAGGCAGGATGGGGATTAAAAAGGAATGTTAGACAGACAAAAACAGTTCAAAATTACCATTAGAATTACTGCCCCGATACCTCAAGGTTTTTTCCTTTTTTTCTAGAGTCTACTTGTTGTGTCTCAAGCTGTAGGCCAGTCCTGGGATCCCTGACTTATGTGAGCAGCCCCTCTCCAGCTAATGTGATCCCAGGGCAGTCACCCTTCTGCTCCGACTCTGGGATGGGGGCTGAAGGGAAGTCACATAGCACGGCTTTGAGCATGGCTGCTCACAGGAGTAGGGCTTGCAGGACCAGCTCCTCCAGATATCTCCAAACCCTAGCAAGACAGGACCCTTCCCCATTCGCTTAGATTTGGCTGCAGTAGAGGAATGGTGTCATATGATTCTCTCAAAAAATGACTCCCCTCCTGCCAGTGTGAACATCAATCCACCTGTCCATGTTCCAGATATAACACCCTGTGCTGGTGCTGGGAACAGACGGCTGCTGTGTCATGATGGAACAGAGGGCACAGTCGAACTGGGTATGTGCTATTTAAACCTCACTGGTTGTCACCTTCATCTTTACCCAGCCACAATGAGTATTATAACAGTGATTAGCCCAACAGTTTCTATTACTAATGTTTTAGCTCCTGTCTTAAAACTACAGAGCAGGACTGGTATTTCTGTGGCTCTGAAAGCACATCTGTACCACAAAATGAAGTTGCGAATGTAGCGTGTACTGGCACATCTCACCAGGAAGGGGTAAGAACGAGAGCAAAGTCAGCTTCAACATGTGCTCAGAGCGAGACCTGTTGCTCACTCATGCTGAAGACAGTGCCACAGCATAGCTGCCACACCAGCTGTTTAGGACAAGCTACAGCAGATCCACTAAGGTGTGCTAAACTGGTAACTTCACTTTGCTGTGCAGAATTACTTGGGGGGGCTATCTCAAACATCTCATTGTCCTAAGCAGAGCTGTCCCCATCCTGCGTGATTTTTGACTGGATGGGCCATAAGGATACAGGACCCTTTTGGAAAAGGTCCTGTTCAGCCCTGGAGGTGAGCTTCTGTATATAAACTTCCTGTCCAAGTCCATGTCGTGAGCAAAGAAAACTTATCTTGGCTCACTGAACACCTGTGCCAACCTCCTCCCCTTGTTCTGCAGTCCTAAAAGGAGGCAAACATACAAAATCCTCCGTACTCCATTTATGCGTTTGGGTCTGCGAGCACGGGCTAATCTGACCTCCCTGTTTCCCAGCTGCAGCATGTCTCCAGTGAGACTGAACCCAAGTTGCACTGTGACTGCTATTCTTAGCCAGAGAGTCAGGTCATGGGTAAAGTGTGAGTCTGTGTTCCCAGGCAGCACTGCAGAAAGCAAAAAGGAGAAAAGAAAAAAAATAATAATTTAAAAATCCCAGCACTGGCACTGCACAAGCCAGCCTTGGGAATCTGAAATTACTGTGGGTTCAACCATCACATGGAGCAGGCACTGGCAAAAAGTGTCTTTCTAAATGCTGAAACACTGCCTCCAGGATGCTTTGAGACTCACAGTTACAAACTGTGTTATGTTTGGGGCAGGAAAAATAAAATTAAAAAAAAAGATGAAGCAAAGAAAGCTGCTGCCCAGCTGATTCCACAGCAGTGAAGGGCGCTGGTAGAGTGGACTTGGAAATCTTCTCAGAATCAGAAAAAAGTACTCCTTTATTCTGCAGCCTGAAATAGGCAACTCTGCAGATCTACACTGGGAGGAGTAATCATCCCATGGCTATATGTTACTATGCAACTAGCTACGACAGGGAGGAAGGAAACAAGAGCAAAAGCAAATTCAGAGAATGTTATTATTCAGCGCTCAGCCTAGAAAATACACAACAAATATTAGAATGAATTCAGTGGTGATGTCCAGCATCGTTAGCAACCAGATGGACCTGGAATAAAACTGTAATTAGACTTCACCAAGAGGAAAGGGAGGGAGAGAACAGCAGATTAAATTGTAGAGGCAAACGCATTTTGAATAAATAAAGGACAGACACAGATCATACAGAGTTGCAAAAAGTGCCTTTGAAGCCTGATGCGACCTTGGCAGAGAGTAAACTTGCAAGATCAAAGAGAACGGAGTAGAAGACAACAGACCCAATCCTCCTGCCCCTGTCCTGCTGA